GCCGGAGGGGTTTCGTCGCTTCCCAGCGGGGCCCCCCTGTGCGAGCACTTGCTGCGGAGTCAAGCCTGCCACTGGACGGGAAGGCAGCGGCATCGACCGGAATACCCATTAGTTACACGTTAAAAATTGCGCGGCCAGAGCCTCCTGAGCTCCAGTTTTCGACTCCTCTTCCCAGTCGTAAAGTCTTCAAACGTAGCACGGTCTCTGGTTTCTAAGGGCTCATTTGATAACGGTTCCTTGGATGGAGAGTTTGGCAACACAGCCGAAGGTTCTGGACACTTTGGACACTTAGTGAAGACATCACCTAATTCTTCAGGCATGTAATCAGCTGTCAGACCATGGCAACTATAATCCCATGCCACTGGAAACCCGGCCCTGGGGAAGAAATAGGATCTGACTGTTCCCTCCTAATTACCGACATTTATATTCCTGGCTTTTATTGTGCCTGCGTGTGTGTGCATGTGTGTGCACACTCACGTTGATACTAGGGCTTGAACTTAGGGCCTGAGTATTGTCCTTGAATTTTTTGCTCAAAGCTAGCGCGCTCTACCACATGAGCCACAGCTCATGACTTTTTGTTTTTTTGCCAGTCCTGGGGCTTGAACTTTGGGCCTGGCCACTGCCCTTGAGCTGCTTTTGCTCAAGGCTAGCATTCTACCACTCGAGCCACAGCGCCACTTCTAGCTTTTTCTGTTTATGTGGTACTGAGGAATCTAACCCAGGACTTTGTGCATGCTAGGCAAGCACTCTACCAACTAAGCCCCAGCTTACTGACTTTTAATGGTGATGCAATTCAATACACTTTTTTTTTTTTTTTTTTTTTTTGGTTGTGGGGCTTGAACTCTGGGCCTGGGCGCTGTCCCTCAGCTCTTCAGCTCAAGGCAAGTGCTCTACCACTTGAGCCACAGCGCCTACTTCTGGCTTTTTCTGTATATGTGGTGCTGAGGAATCGAACCAGGGCCTCATACATGTTAGGCAAGCGCTCTACTACTGAGCCACCTCCCAGCCCTCAATCAACTTTTTTTTTTCTTTTTTTTTCATTGTAAAGATACTATACAGAGGGTTACAGTTACATGAGTGAGGTAATGTACACTTCCTCTTGAACATTGTTACCCCCTCCATCGTTTTCCCCCTACCATCCCCTCCCTCCCTCCCTTCCCCGAGGTTCTTTTTTTTTTTATTGTGATTAAGTGATCAATCAACTTTTTATTTAAGCCATTTTCATGTCTTTACTAGAAACATTTCTTGTCTTTTTTGTGTGTCAAGTTCAGTAAGTTTCAAGAACAAGATATATTTAGAAGTGTGTTTCCAGATATACAGCTTTCCCTCTTACGAAATGAGGGAACAAAAATAGAGGATTGCGAGTACAGTAAAGATCTAATTGAACTTTGTTTATTCATCAAAAATAATATTTTTCCTTGAAAACTTACTTTAAACATGCTAAAGGCATGTATTTAACAAGTAAATACTCCTGTACATGGGTTACAAACAATTTTACATACAAAATTTTCATCTTCATTGAAGTATCCTATATATTTTGAGCAACGTATTGGTGGTTCATACCTGTAATCCTAGCTACTTATGAGGCTAAGATCTGTGGATCACAGCCCAAAGCTAGTCTAGGCAGGAAAGTTGGAGACTCATATTCACTTTCTCTCTCTCTCTCTCTCTCTCTCTCTCTCTCTCACCAGGATCATATGCTTCCTGTCATGCACCCCAACACCCTTTCAGGCAGTCCAACCAAAAATGACAAGAGGATGGCCTGTTCTGGGTGGTATAGCCCTCCAGCTAATGCTGGGAAAGGAACCTGTAGGATTAATTTGATTTCCTTTCTGGAATCAGTCATTACCAGTATCTGTGTTCTGTTTTTTAAGTTCAGTACTAGGCCAATTATAAGCACATGACCCTCTAGCAGAGGAAGAAGAAGGGGCTCTGTCCCTCCCTTGTGCTTCTTCTCAGTGCTCACAACAGGCCTTAGTATCTAGTAAAATACTGGTTGTCACCTGTTACTAATAAGGAAACTTAATATCACACAGCTCTTTGCTTGAGGTGATTCGTCAGTTGTCATACACAGGTCTAGAAATGGATCCTTGATTGTTTCCACAGAAATAAGCAAGGTGTATTAGGGACATAGTTTGCAAGAGGGATGCCTTACATCCTTCGGTAGAACCAACTTTTCTTTTTTTGTCAGTTGTAGGGCTTGAACTCTGGGGCTGAGTGCTATCCCTGTCCTCTTCAGTTCATGGCTAATGATCTACCACTTGAGCCACAGTGCCAGTTCTGGTCTTCTGATTGTTTATTGGAGATAAGAGTCTCATGGACTTTCCTGCCCCGGCTGGCTTTGAACTGTGATCCTCAGATCTCAGCCTCCTGAGTAGCTAGGATTACAGGCATGAGCCACCAGTGCCCAGCTGCAAAGAAACTTTTTTTTTTTTTTAGAGAATACTTTATTAGTTTCTGTAATCAAACCCACGTAGATAAGACCTTACATATTTAATACAGTGCGTTTACCCCTGTACAAATGGAAACAAATTAAGTTTAACATTTCTAGACCAATATGGCTATTAATTTCTGTACAATGCCAACTAAAGAAACTTTTAAGTGGAGTTGTGGCTCAAGTGGTAGAGCACAAGCCTTGAGCACAAAAGCTCAGGGACAGCACCCAGGCCCCAAGTTCAAGCCAGCACACATAATAACAATAAGAATAGAAAAAGAAAATCTCCAGATCTTTGTTTGGCTTAATTTTGCAGATACAAACTTTACATTCATACTAACCCAAGAAACTTTTTTTTTTTTGGTCAGTCATGGGGCTTGAACTCTGGGCCTGAGCTCTGTCCCTCAGCTCTTCAGCTCTAGGTGAGTGCTCTATGACTTGAGCCACAGTGCCACTTCCTGTTTTTTTGTGGTTTATTGGAGGTAACAGTTTCACAGCCTTTCCTGCCTGGGCTGACTTTGAACCAAGATCCTCAGATCTCAGCCTCCTAAGTAGCTAGGATTACAGGCGTGAGCCACAGGCGACCGGCCCAAAGAAACTTTTTAAGGACCAGGAAATCTTTATCTGGTAGATGACTGAAGGCTGTTGAAGTGGGAGTGTGGGTCCAAAGAGGGTCTTGATTCGTTTTGCTAAGGCTTAGAAAAACTCATTTGTGAGAAATTTATGAGGTCTTTAGAGAAGCTTGATTGCCTAAGGCTCTATCTAGATGGTTATTCGTGGAAGCTCTTCAGGCACCTGAATCTAGGGTGTCTAGATGAAGAGGCCAGAAAGATTTAGGAAGCAGGCCTGGGCCTGAGGGACATTTCCTTGGTTAAAGCTTAATTTACTTCATTGCTGCACCTTCATACAAAGTCTTCTCTGATCTCATTTCCAGTCCTCCCTCCTTGTAGCAGCCAAAGCAATCTTCCCAAAGAACACTTTGGCCCTGTTATTCCCTTATTGAGAGTTCTCAAATTTTTATTTTTTCATTAAGGTTTTGGGAAGTTGGTCTAAGCCAACTTCCAGTTCCTTTCCCTATTCCTTTACAACCAGACTCTTATTTTCTAATTAAGGTCAAATACCCATCTTTTTCTTTTTTTTTTTGGGTCCGGTTGTGGGGCCTGAACTCTGGGCCTGGGCGCTGTCCCTCAGCTCTTCAGCTCAAGGCTAGCGCTCTTCCACTTGAGCCACAGCTCCACTTCCGGCTTTTTTTCTTTTTGCTTATGTGGTGCTGAGGAATCGAACCCAGGGCCTCACACATGCAAGGCAAGCGCTCTACCACTGAGCCACCTTCCCAGCCCAAATACCCATCTTTTTTGACATTATATTTCCCCACCTTTTTCTCCCTAGAGTGCTCCAGCCAGTCTCTTTAAACTTGATCAGTAATCACTTCTCTACCCTGACTACCTACCACCCCCATTTAGTGCTTACGTATTATTTGATTGCTTTTATGTCCGAATCTGTCTCTTAATTTCCCATGGTGAGGTTTATTGAGTGATTTGGCCTTTAGTCCCTCCACAGGGCTTGGGAAGTGAGCGGCTAACTACATGTTGGCTGACCATACTCTACTTTCCCTTCTTGTTCTAGGTCTGGAATGAAGTTTCAAGCACCAAAGAACTGTGGAGGTGAGTGAGAAGTTAACAGTGGTCCTGCAAAAGGAGATGGCTGCACTGGATAAGACTTGTGATAACTGTCTACATTTCTAGCTTTCTAGAATGCATAGAAAGGATGATTCAGATAGGAATCTCCTGTCTGTGGAATACGAGTAGAATGGAAAGACTTGATAAAAGTAGGATTATAAAACTCAGGGGCAGAAATGTACAATAAATGAATGTAACTGGCTCAGAAGATACAGCAACTGAATTATGATTAAATTACTTTTTTGTTGTTAGTACTGTAGTTTGAACTCAGTACATCACTCTGGGTTGGGTCACTTGCCCAGTTGGTACTCTACCACTTGAGTCATACCTCCAGACATGTGCTTTGGTGATTAATTTGGAGACAGAGTCTAGTGAACTTTTCTGCCTGGACTGGCTTTGAACAGTGATCCTCTAGGTTTCAACCTCATGAGTAGCTATGAGCTATCAACACCTTCTTGTTTATTTTATTTTTAAATATAATTTTACTGTTATTAAGGTAACCCAGAAGGGGTTACCATTTCAGGTAATGAGTAATGAGTACATTTCTTTCTTTTTTGGGGGAGGGGGACCCTGAACTCTGGGCCTGGGCGCTGCCTTCAGCTCTTCAGCTCAAGGCTAGTAGTGCTCTACAGCTTGAGCCACAGCGCCACTTCCAGCTTTTTTCTTTTTGCTTATGTGGTGCTGAGGAATGGAACCCAGGGCCTCATGCATGAAGGGCAAGCGCTCTACCTCTGAGCTATCTTCCCAGCCCCAATTATATAACTTTTACTTTTTTTTTATTTTTTGGTCGGTCATGGGGCTTGAACTCTGGGCTTGGGCGCTGTCCCTGCGCTCTTCAGCTCTTGAGCCTCAGCGCCACTTCCAGAGTACATTTCTTTTTTTGGACAATATCACCCCTTTCTTTTCTTTCCCCAGTTTTCCCCTCCCATGCCTGCTGCCTGTCCATATAGTAGATACTGAATAGTATTATTGTTCACTCTCTCTTCCTCCTTTTTTGCATTTGTTTTATTATTTGTTCATTTTGGTTTTTGTTGGTTGTAGGGCTTAAACTCAGGGCCTGGGTTCTGTCCCTGAGCCTCTTTGTGCTCAAGGCATGAAGTGTCGCTACCATTTGAGCCACAGTGCCACCAGTTTTCTGGTGGTTAATTGGAGATAAAAGTCTCATGAACTTTCCTGCCTGGGTTGCCTTTGAACCTTGATCCTCAGATCTTAGCTTCCTGAGTAGCTAGGATACATGAAAGAATCACTGGCCCCCAACTGGGGAAATATGATTTTTTTATTGTTGGTAGCTATGTCTTCATGTGGCCTCTTATAACATGGAACATACAAAGTAATCTGGGAGTTCTTTCTTCTCACAGACTGTTAGGGTGCTAGATGTGGTAGAAAGCCAGAGAGTCAGCAAGCAGAATAAGCCTTTTTCCCATGTGAGCACTACAGTCTTCAATGTACAGAAGCTTTCTAGTGCTTGGTACTGAGCCTGACATGTAGGTGCTCAATAATTGTACAAGTTATCCCACGTTATGTTGTCCTTGTTTAAACCACACTGCTGTGATCCTCTCGTTTTCTATGTGACCTCATTCTGTTTCTCCTGAGACAGGAGTGCTGGACTAGAGTTAGCGGATGCCACATTATTGCTGTGCAGTGTTAGTGCTGGGAGTCCCCATTGATCAGGCCTTCTCAGCTAGGTGACCACTCCAGTTGCTCTTAACCTCTGCAGTAGCAAGTTACTTCTTTCTGGAACTTAGACAGTAGCTTGAAGCCACATGAAGAAATCAAACCAACCAATAGGCTCACATTTGTCATACCAGCTGTACAGGAAGTAGAGACTAGAAGGATCATGGTTTGAGGTCAGCCAGGCAAAATTTTTACTAGATCTCATCTGAACACAAAAGGCTAGGCATAGTGGCATGCTCCTGTCCTCCCAGCTGTGGGGGAAACAAATTGGATTGTGGTTCAGGCTGGCTCACATAAAAAGTGAGACCCACATCTTAAAGCTGGGCACACAGTACCTCATGCCTGTAATCCTAACTATTCAGGAAGCTGAGATCTGAGGATCTCTGTTTCGAAGCCGGCCTTCACAGAAAAGTCAGTGAGACTATTATCTCCAAATAACCATAAAAAGCCAGAGCTGTGGCTCAAGTGGTAGAATGCTAGCCTTGAACACAAAATCTCTGGGACAATACTTAAGCCCAGAGTTCAAGGTCTAGGACTAGCAAAATAAATAAAGCAAGATGGGCATTGGTGACTTATTCCTATAATCTTAGCTTTTGAGGGTCATGGTTCAAAGCCAGCCTTGGTAGAAAATACCATGAAACTTCATCGCTAAAATAACCAGCCAAAAGCCAGGTTACTAGCTTGGCTTAAATGGGAGAGCACTAGCCAAGCAAACAAACTGAGAGAACATAGAATCTGAGTTTAAACCCCAGAACCATCTCTTCCCCAAAAGATATATCATGCAAATAATAACCAAAAGAGAGCTGAATTGTGCTAACGTAACACAAAACAGACATTGAGAGGGAAAAAATGGTACTACACACAAAGAAAGGTGTTTTATAATGATAAATCAATTAGTCTAGCAAGAAGATGATAGTTATAGATGCCTCTGGCCACAAAGCAAGAAAAATACATAAGGGCTTGGCAGCAATGAAGAAAGACATAGTTAATTTTACAATAATAGTGGAGGCATTGAGAATGCCATTTGAATCCCAGTTGATTAACTTCTACATCTCCCAAGTGTAGAATGGAGGTGAGATTTTTACCTCATAGGGTTGTGGAGAAACTCCATTGGATACATAAAACAGCACTTCATGCCTGATGTGTAGTTAACACTCATTCAGTGTTCCTTTATCCCCATTTACGGAAGAGATGGCTGAGACCTAGGTAGACAAAATTGGTTGGCAAAGCCAGGATTCAAAACTCAATCTATTAGCTCCAAAGTCCATGACTGCTACATCCTGCCTTCAGTTGTGGGTCTGTTTTTCAGGCAGCTGTGTCTGAGACGCTGGTCCTCCTGCAGAGCCTCTCAAATGGTCCCTGGCACACAAACATGGAAACAGTACTATCTCTCCCGGTCTGAGCTGGAGTTTCGAGTGGAATCTGGGCGGCCCGAGGACTTTGTTTACAAAACTATTGCTGGGCATACAGGTATGGTGTAGGAAATGTAGTGACTATGTCCATTCCCACTCACCCTCCACTCTCCTCATGGTGAATGACTTGGAGAGGGCTACTTGATGATTGAGTATTTTGCTAGTTCTGTAAACATTTGTGTTATGTCATCTGATCCTCATAGTAACCCTATGAGGAAGACATAGTCACATCATTTTTAAAGTAGTCAGAAGCAGAAACCAAGAGGCTAAGGAGTAGTTTAATGTCATGTTGCTAAAGAGAGACAGTCCAGAGAACAGCTTCTTTCAGAGAGCAGCTAGTTCTTTCCTATTTTATTGTGCCCAAGTAACCAAGTGACCATTGTGTATCTAAGACAGAAGCAGAGTGACGGTTTTACTTCAAAACATTTTCCTTAAGTAGAGTGTCCAATCTCTGGCTGTCTATGTTTCTATGTTCTCTCATAGGACAGATAAATCAGCTGGCTTATGTGTCGACCAATGAGTACCGGTTTGACGGAACAGAGAAGTCTGTGGTCTGCACTGTGTCTGCGGATTGCACTGTGCGTGCCTGGGATTTGTGTGAGGTGAGCTGGCCCTGGAAGGGAAAGCAATGCCGAAGTGTCCGGAATCCTTCCTGTGTCCTGGTCTCATCATGACCCTTTGTGTGATTTTATTTACTTACTTTGGAAAGCTTCTGGGATTAGGAATAGAAGCCCCATTTTGCAGATGAAAAATCTGAGCTCATAAGAGGCTCAGTTACCACACCAGGGCACAGTAGTAACAAGTAGACAGTGGATCTCTGTTTGAAATCTGAGTGTGACCATTCTCAGTGACACATTCTTGGCTTTCTGTTTTGTGCCCTTGGGAAGCTGAACTGTACCAGCTGTGCTTGGTGGGGACTGTGTTGGCATTCCAGCTTTCTTTACTATTTCTCACCCCTTCCTTGCAAGCATTTCTGGACTTGAATCTGAGATCTCTTACTCATGTGATTCTCCACATGGTTTTAGCCTACTGGGCCATGTTGCCTAGATCATTAGACATTTTAGTCATCCCCATATGTAAGTCTAGATAACTTGGTTAACATTTTAAACATTGTTAACCCTTGGCAGTTAAAAGGTTTTAGTTTTTTTGGGTTTTTTTTGGATCCAGTTGTGGGGCCTGAACTCTGGGCCTGGGCGCTATCCCTCAGCTCTTTAGCTCAAGGCTAGTGTTGTACCACTTGAGCCACAGTGCCACTTCCGGCTTTTTTTCTTTTTGCTTATGTGGTGCTGAGGAATCGAACCCAGGGCCACAGGCATGCAAGGCAAGCGCTCTACCACTGAGCCACCTTCCCAGCCCAAGGTTTTAGTTTGTATATCTTGTTTTCTTATTAGCAGCAGTCCAATAAGGTATTCTTTTTTTTTTTTTTTTGGTCCATTGTGGGGCCTGAACTCTGGGCCTGGGTGCTGTCCCTCAGCTCTTCAGCTCAAGGCTAGCGCTCTACCACTTGAGCCACAGCGCCACTTCCTGGCTTTTTTTCTTTTTGCTTATGTGGTGCTGAGGAATCGAACCCAGGGCCTCAGCTCTTCAGCTCAAGGCTAGCGCTCTACCACTTGAGCCACAGCGCCACTTCCAGCTTTTTTTTCTTTTTGCTTATGTGGTGCTGAGGAATCGAACCCAGGGCTTCATGCATGCAAGGCAAGCGCTCTACCACTGAGCCACCTTCCCGGCCAAGGTATTCATTATTATCCTAACTTTATAGACATAAACTGGGACTAAGGGAGGAAGATGTCTCTGAAACTTGAACTATGGTTGCTTGTAAATCCAGGAGTTCTGCCTAGGGTCACACGCAAATGGAACGCAGCCTCCTGTAATGGATAGCATCCTAGAATCTGTGGAATACGTTGTATTTTTGAATGCCTTAGACAGAGATATCTGTAGTATCTTACTTGATTTTTATTTTTTGTGATGTTGGGGATTAAACCTAAGGCTTTGTAAGTATTATACAAGTGTTCTACCACTGAACTATACTCTCAACCCTAGGTAGGATGTTACTACTTTATGTAAATAGTCTTTTGTCAATAACTTGTCTTTACCATTCATTAGGTTTGCTGGCAGTGGATGTTGCCTCTGACAAGAGAACTTAGTATTGAAAAGCCATAGCAGATTAGAGGTCTCCTGGGGACTAGCCAGTCTATCAAGAGACCTAGCTGAGCTCAGGTCCCTGCTTAACCTTCATTCCCTGTGAGGGTTGCTCCTCCTGAAAGAGAGACCTGCCTGTGGGTTGGAGACTTGTGACTTGGAGACTCAGGGGCTCTTGGGAATCAAACTTTGAATTTTTTTAAAGAAAATCATCTGTATAGTTGGTGCTTGTTCTTGTGCCCTCCAAGATTCATGCTGAAACTTAATCCCCTATGCACCAGTATTGGGAAGTAATGAGTTATGAAGTTTCTGCCCTCATCTGGGATCTTAGGTACTTAAAAGGGCTTGATGGTTCATACCTATAATCCTTACTACTCAGGAGGTTGAGGTCTGGATTGAAGTTTGAAGCCAATCTGAGCAGAAAGTCTGTGAGACTCTCATCTCTAGTTAACTGCTAAAAAGCCAAAAGTGGAGATGTGACACAAAACTGTGACTCAAGGCTAGCTGTGCTAGTCTTGTGCAAAAGAAACTCAGGGACAGTGCCCAGGCCCTGAGTTTAAGCCCCAGGACTGGCACAAATGAAAGGGTGTGTGTGTGGCTTGATAGAGGGAGTTACTCTGGTCTCCCTCCTACCTTCCACTATGTATAGACAAGGGCATTTTACTCTCTTGAGGAAGCAAGAAGTCTTGATTAGCTGGGTCCCTGTGGCTCACACTGGTAATCCTGTCTACTCAGGAGGCTTCAGTCAGAAATTTGAAGTTCTAAGTCTTTGAGACTCTGTCTCCAGTTAACTAACAAAAAGGTAGTCTGAAAGTGCAGATTGTACAGATTATACAGTAAAGTACCAGCTGTGAGCAAGCAAGTCAAGTGAATGCCAGGCTTTGCTCAGACAACTGAAGCTGTTTGTGCCTTGATTTGAGATTCTTTTTTCTTTTTTTTAATTAGCATCAGTTAGTTGCACAAGGAAATTTCATTTTTGCATGTCCATTTGACCATGGTAAAGCCTCTTTCATTTTGAATTTCTTAGCTTCTGTTCTGAATAAATTAACCAATCTGTCCTTTTGTTACTACAGCTGGATGGAGCAAGGCAGTTAATTCCTATTGGAGTTTGTAGTCACTGCAGTGATTGGCAATGTATTAGTTTTATGTTGCTGTAATAAATACATGAGATAAACAATTCAAAGCAGGAAAGATTTATTTGTTTCAGTTTCAGAGGTTTTAGCTGTGGTCATTTGGCTATATTGTTTTTGTGGTGAGGCAGAGTATCATGGCTTCTCATTTCCTGTGGTGTGGTAGCAGAGACAGATTTTTTTTTGGCTGGGGGGAGAAAGGGGGCTAGGTTTGAGACAGTATTTCATAACCCAGGCTGGCCTGGTACACATTATTAGCACATACTTGTGATTCTTCTAGTTGTTTCTCCTGAGTACAGAATTATAGGTATGTGGTACCATACTGCTCTCCAGATGTTTTTTGGTTTCCTTTTCCTTGAAAATTTTTTTTCTTTGTTTTCATTTTCTTGTTTTGTAGTCCACAGTGGCCTCAAACTCACCAGTCTTTAATCTCAGCCTCTTGAATGCTGGGATTACAGACTTGCACCGCTGTATCTGGCATTACTACAGATTGATTTTTTTCTTTTTTCTCTGTTAAAGATTTTTTGTTAGCATCTATTAATTATACAAAGTCAGGTTTCATTGTGACATTACCATATATATATACACTGTTCCCCAATCAATCTCACCTCCATCTCTTTTCATCATCCTCTCAGCCCCTACAAGCATGATTTGGTAAACAAAGATTGTAAAACAAATACCATGTTTCTTACATATAGCGCAGGACCAGCTTTTCAAAGACATTTATTGATTCCTGAAACATCTTTTTATTACAAATACAGGTATCAAAACAATCCTGAATACAGTGTATGTGTGAGTTTGTGTGTGTGTATGCTGGTAGTAGGCTTTTACTCAGGGCCTGGGCACTGTCCCTGAGCTTTTTTGCTCAAAGCTGTTGCTGTACCACTTGAGGCATAGCTCTTCTGCTTTTTGGTGGTTAATCCTGACTTGGAACCACAATCCTCAGATCCTCCTGAGTAGCTAGGATTTACAGGTATGAGTAGCTAGGATTTACAGGTGTGAGCCACCAGCTTCTGGCCTCTGAATACATTTTTGATACTACTACTAGTCAGCACCCACACTACTTCAAACATTAACACAATTTGTGACAATATTCCTTGTCCTTCCTACTTAACCAGTTTAAACTGCAGCTCTTCCACTCTCTCAGATGGATTGTGACTTTCAGAAGCATTCTATTTTCATTGCCAAATGACACCTCTTGCCTTGCTTTCATTTTGTAAACCTTAATTCTATTTCAAATCCTCCAGTGTCATAACACAGAAAGAAAATTCTCTGCATTTTGCTGTATTTTAACACAGGAAGACAGTTCACTGCATCTTGCCTCCATTATATGGAAAGATGGTGTCTTAATGGCAGTGTCGTAACACAAAGAAAAATTTCTGCATTTTGCCTCCATTATATAGAAAGATGGTTTCCTCCTGTGTCTAGCACATAGAGCTTTAAAACAATTATTCATAATAAATTCATTCAACCTAAGTTTATTCAACCTGTGTAATTCTTGTGTTGCTAAACACTCTTGTCGCCTGCAAAGATTAAATTGTTTTTGAGCCTCCTAGAATTTTTTTTTTTAACTAGTCCTGGAGCTTGAACTCAGAGCCTGGACAATGTCTCTGAGCTTCTTTTGCTCAAGGCTAGCACTCTACCAGTTGAGCCACAGCACCATTTCTAGCATTAGGGCTTCATACGTACTAGGTAAGCACTCTACCACTAAGCCACATTCCCATCCTGCCTCCTAGAATTTTCTCACATTCAGTATTCTCAACTTCTCATGCTAGTAACCCTCATATATATTTAATATATATAATATGTATTATATATATATTTAATATATATAATCTTTTTTATCATGATCAGATATGATGATGGCATTGGCTTATTTAAGCAACAGAAATCAACTTATAGGGTAAACAAATAAATTAAGGGAATACCAAGATAATATGATTGATTGGAGTGAAATGAGTGATTGGAATGAAAATTCTGGGGCAACAGTAAGTAGACACACCTTAATGTCCAATTCAGTGCATGATGGGTCTGGTGTTCCTAGTTTTCAAAGAGATCATGGAATGGTCCCAATTCAGGCATTGTCTTCCTCTGGATTAGTAGCCCGTGTATATTGATAGGCTTTGGGGCTAGCCAGTGGTGGCACTACTGGGCACGTCCCATATTGGGTGGAAATGTTCTGAAAAGGGTAGCTACTGCCATAAACTATGGTTAGTTTATCATGTTGTGTGCTATGTGTATATGTTTTTAAAGATGTGCATTTAGTAATATCAAAGAGAAGATGCTTATTAATTTATAATGTATTTGAAAGGTAATGTGTTTTGTTTTTTTTGCAGATTTACTTTATTTAATTTTCATTAGTTTAAATTCTGGAGGGGTACAGCATCACACGGATTCTGTGTCCAATGGCCTTAGCAGGAAGGTTGCTTTGGAATTTGGCACGAACCATGCCACTGTTTCCATGGGCACGTGTTACCTTTCCCCAGATTACTCTTGTTTTGTTAGGTTTGCCGCCAGGAGTCACTATGTTGTTTTTTGCTTTGTATACATAAGCACATCTCTTGCCCAAGTAGAAATTGGTATCACCTCGGGCATAAACGCCTTCAATTTTAAGGAGAGCCGTGTGCTCCCTTTGGTTCCGGAGACCCTGTTTATAGCCAGCAAAAATGGCCTTGCACCATAGCCTTCCAGACATTTTGCTTTTTAGGAGTTCTGTTCCCAGCAGGCCTCCACAGGCTCCAAGATAATGGAGAGAGGAAGGCTGTGTGTTTTTTTATACACATTCATTTGTAATAATGGGTCTGTGTAGTCTTTTGTGTCTTGTCATACAAGTTTGTTAAAGGTCTTCATTCCTTATCTGTAATTGTAATTTCAAAATCCAAGAAATTCTGGACATAAGGTTATAAGCTGAATGACAGAATTCATTTGTTTCCAAATCAAATCTGAACTGATATTCACTGTACTTATTCTATGTAGTGTGACTATTCATTTGTTTTCTTGTAGAAATATTAACATGTGTGATTACTGAGCTGGAGGTGCTGCCACAAAATCTTTTGGAGGCTAATGTATTATCATATATACACTAAATTAATTATTTTTCTAAAATCTGAAAATTTTATAATTCTGAAACATCTAGCCCCAAGGGTTTCAGATAAAGATTGTGGATCTCTATTTTCTCTTAACTAATTTAGAAGGGTTTGTTTAAAAAAATGTGAAATGCTTTTATATTCTAGTTTTTTCACTTTGTATATTAAATGATTTTTTAAATGACAAAAAAAAACCCTGGATTTCCATAAGACTTAAGTAAGACAGCTGAAAGCAATAGATGATAGTGCACAGCCTGGGTTCTGTGCATGGGATCAATGTTGCATTGGCCTTTCAGTTCAGTCTGTAGCTTCCTTTCCTTCATTGGAGCCCTAGGTAACACTGGATATGGCATGCCATTGTGAATACCTCTTCCTCTTCTTAGTACTCTGTGGATGCTATCCAGTCTTCAGGAGATCTTTCCAGTTGCCCTAGCTCCATTCCTGCCCTTAGTCTAACTGGGACACACCCGTCTTTACTATTCTCTCTATAGTGCTATAAGGTGGGGCACATCCTTTTCACCTGTGCTATCCTGTATGCACGGTAGAGTCTGGTATAAAGCAGACACAGGTAAATATATGCCTATTGAATGCATGAAAATAGTATGTTTATAATGAATGGACTCTGTGTCAATTTTGTTGTTAGGGCACAGAGATCTGGTCCAGCCCTGCGCAGCCAGCTCCTCTGGTGAATTTGGTGACCTACCCTCAGCAGCAGCTAGTCATCACTGTGGACACAGAAGGATTGATAAAAGTGTGGGGAGCAGAGACTGGATGTGAGGGGGCTTCCTTCTCCTTACTGAATTCCTGTGCTGCAGTCGAGGCCTATGACCAGCCTGAGAATCCCTTTCTGCTGGTGAGTTCCCTAGCTCTACAAGGCCTAGCTGATTGCCAGGTCCTAGATCCTAGCCCCGTGACCACATGATACATATGCATGGAGTCTTCAGGGCAGACTCCTTTTTGCCTACCATGTTGAGTGCAGACTCCTGTCTTTCAGTTGCTGTTTGTAGCCTCTCACTTTCGCTCAGAGCCAGCTCTGTGGACTCCTGGGGTTCTGTGGTCACATGCCCTTGCTTTCTTGTCTATTGGTCTGTCTCAGTATTTTTCTTCTACCTGCAATTTCTTTTAACTTCAATTCTGTTTTATTCATTTATTTTGTGCGTGTGTGCGTGCGTGTGTGTGTGTGTCAGTTCTGGGGCTTTAACTTAGGGCCTTGACATTGTCCCTGAGCTTCTTTTTCTCAAGGTGAGCACTCTGCCACTTGAGTCATACCACTTCTGGTTTTGTGGTGGTTTATTGGCAATCAGAGTCTCACAAACTTTCCTGCCTGGGTTGGCTTTGAATCTGGATCCTCACATCTCAGCCTCTTGAGTATCTAGGATTACAGGCATAAGCTACTGGCACCTGGCTACAGTTCAGGTTTTCTTTTTCTTTTTTTTTTTTTCAAACTGACAACAGCTGGACATGATGGTGCATGTCTGTAATCCTAGCCACCGAGGAGGGTGAGGCAAGAGAATAGTTAAGTCTAGACAACTTGGTGAGATGCTCTCAAATTTAAAAATGGCATAAATAGCTAGGTAATATGCCTCAAGCCTTTAATTCTGATTACTTGGAAGGCATTGCTGGAGGATCACAATATGAGACAAAATATGTTTATAAGACTATGTAAACCAATGGCTGGGTGAAGATGGCACATGCTTATTCTCTCAGCTTTGGGGGAAAGACAATGGCTGTATGCAGTGGCATGCACCTGTCATTCCCAGTGATATGAGGAAGCACAAGCAGGAGGATCTCAGTTCAGGTAAGACAGGCATAAGGCAAGACCCTATCTCAAAAATAAACAACACAAAAAGGGTCTGGGCAAAAGGTTCAAGTAGTAGAGCCACTGCCTGGCAAGCCTGAGGCCATAAATTCAATCTCCAGCACTTAAAAAAAGTTGAGCAGTGGAAGACCATTTGTCATTTACCTAGCTAATGTGAGGTCCTATATTCAATCCTCAGTACCACCACCACCAACCACTTAAAAAAAAAAGCCTGCAGTGCCAGTTAGCTTAATAATAATAAAATAATTAAACAAGATGGGTGTGGTGGGCATACCAGTAATGCTAGGACTTGGAATGCTGAGGCAGGATGGTTGGGAGTTCAAGGCCAGCCTGGGGTACAGGCTGAGCTCAGGCCAGTGTGGACTTCATAGCAAGACACCCTGTCCCATAAAGGGGGGAAAAAGGAATTGGATAGGCTTGTATACAGAAGATGGCAGAAATTTGAGTTCTAAACCTATCACTGGGGCTATTTTTGCCCTAGAGATGTATATTTCAAGGCACATGTAAGGCTAAGCATTCTTTTCACAGTCCAGATACAGAAGCTGGAGTTCAAGGGCAATAAGAATGGATCCTGTGTGGTGTGGCCTCAGGGAAAGGGGGATGAGCAGATTGCAGCTCAGCTCCTTCATCAGTTGGTAGGAGTGAGGGAAGTCCCCATGCCTTACATATTTCTATTTCCAAATTCACATGTGAATGGATACTGGTAGGGTGAACAGCAAACAACAGACAGTGTAAAGCCAAAGGCTATAGACGCAGTAGACATGTTTTGGTGTTTAAAGCCATAACAAATGAAATAACAGGTTGAACAAAGAACCCAGTAGACGTTCTAGAGTAGAAGACTTCATTAAGAAAGGTAAAGAAATAAGTGGTTAGAGGCCATTGTATATGTGGGTACAGATGTCGAAGTTACACATTGACTGGAGGGAGAAAGAGCTTGCATTGCTGGTAGTGTGATGTTTCTTGGATGTTGACATGAATATTGTAATAAGTTCATTGAGGTTTTGTGTAGTTGTTCTCTGTGTGTTGTTTATCACTTTAAAAAGTTAATGAAGCTGGGCTTCGGTGGCTCATGCTTGTAATCCTAGCTACTCAGGAGGCTGAGATACGAGGATCATGGTTCAAAGCCAGCACAGGCCGGACAATCCATGACTCATCTCCAATTTACCACCATAAAACCAGAAGTGGCACTGTGGCTCAAGTGGTAGAGCATTTACCTTGAGCTGAAGAGCTGAGGGATTTCGCCAAGGCCCAGAGTTCAAGACCCACAACTGACAAAAAAAAAAATTAATGATATAAAAGAATTGGAGCGTGCTATGGATGGTCCTTGTAATACCAGGATGCATGGAAGGATAGAAGAATTGCAGTCTGAGATGGGCTCAGACAAAATCATGAAACCATATAAAACTTCCCCATACCTGAAAGTTAAAAAAAAAAGTATAGGGGTGTGACTCAAGTGGTAAGAGTGCCAAGTATAACCCCCGAAAAGAAAAAGTATAGAAAAGAATTAAGATTAGAAGAAAAATAAAAAAACAATTCTCTATAATAACTCCAGGGATGCTCAGAGTGGTAAATGTGGTAGAGAAAGAGAACTGGACAAGGGCTTCTCAGATTTTTAATTTATTTTTTTTTGGTGCTGGTCCTGGCATTTGAACTCAGGGCCTGGGTGCTGTCCCAAAGCTTTCTTGTTTTAAAAAAAAATTAGTTTACTTTATTGTTATTGTAGAAGTGATGTACAAAGGGGTTAGAATTACATGAGTCAGGTAAGTACATTTTCTTTTGTATATTGTCATCTGTTCCCTCACTCTCTCCCATTCCTTCCCTCCCGTCTCCACCCATGAGTTGTCTAGTTCACTTTCATGAATGTCCAGTGCACTCCACTGCTGCGCTTTTTCACCCTTTTTCCATCGAGTTCTCTGCCCTCTCCTCAACCATCCCAAAGATGTACATGTGAATACACCATATATAAGGTAAAGAAGAGAGAATCATCAAAAACTGAAAACTGAAAGAAAAAATTTTTTATATACATGTGAATATACCATATATAAAATAAAGAAGAGAGAATCATCAAAAACTGAAAACTAAAAGAAAAAGCTTCGTTTACGTATTTTGGAGTTTGTTTCACTATGTATATTGTCTTACATAAATACGAAGAGGTGCTTAGGCATTGCACTTTTGTGATTCTCTTCTGAGTATCCTCTTTTGGTTTCACTGTATGTGAATATCTAGATTCTTACATAATTTTAAATCTAACTAATGCATATCAGAGAGAATATGCACCATTTGTCTCTGAGCTTGGCTTATGTCACTTAGCATGATTTGTTCCATCCATTTCCCTGAAAATGACATTTTATTCTTTCTAATGGCTGTGTATAATTCCAGTGTGTATAGGTACCATATTTTTTGGATCCATTTATCTATTGTGGGGCATCTGGGCTGTTTCCATATCTTGACTATTGTGAATAATGCAACAATAAACGTGGATGTGCAGGTGTCCTTATCATATCCTGGCTCATGATGTTCAGGGTAGATGCCTAGGAGTGGTATGGCTGGATCATAGGGAAGACCATGTTTAGTTTTTTGAGGAACCTCCAGACTGCTTTCCAGAGTGGTTGTACTAGTTTACATTCCCACCAACAGTGCAGTTAGGGTTCCTATTTCCCTACATCCCCACCAGCATTTGTTATTGTTCAAATTCATAATCAAAAGCTTTCTTGCTTAAGGCTAGCACTCCATTACTTGAGTCACAACTCCATTTCTGGCTATTTTGGTGGGTAGTTGGAGATAATAGTATCGGTCTTTTCTGAGCTGGCTTCAAATCATGATCCTCAGTTGTCCAATGCCTGAATAGCTAGGATTACAAGCATGAGCCATTGGTGCCTGGCTTTCATTTTTCTATTGAGATAGGATCTTGCTAAGTATGAAGCTTAGACTAGCCTCAAACTTGCAAACCTCCACTTCACAAGCTCTAGGATTATAGGAGTATGCCACTACACACACTCTTCCTTGGGCTGTCACATACAGCAGGACAGTGCTGTCCAAAAAGTCTGAGTGAACTTCCTGGGTTGCTTAGATGTTCTCAGAGCTAGTAGTCCTGGATAGGGTATCCTATTCTAGGGCCCTCCATCTGGAGAAAGGCTTTGTTCTCCAACAGAGGGGATTCCATAGGTCATCTTGGTGTGCCTTTCTCTTGAAGCCACTGTGGATGTACTTAGTAAGGAAACATCTGTGGGTACTGCTTCCAGGGCCTGAGGTAAGGAAAAACTGAGAACAGAGTTGCAGGCTTAGGAACTGTAAGCCTCTACCATCAGAAGAGCCCTATGTATGGCCAGCAGTTTTTATTCTGTGGAACCAAGGACAGGTTTCGCTCTAGGGTCTGTGGGCAGCTTGTGGCCTTCAACAGACATGAATCGGTGTGGGAGGAGGTCCCTGAAGCCAATGTGGTACAGGGGCACTAATGAGATGCTTGTGTTGGACACTTGGGAGCCTTGTGTTATGAAATGTACACGTTGAAATGGACTTTTGTAGGGTACACTCTATATGGGTCTAAGTAAAATTTGTGAATGAGAATCTGAGGTTTCTGGTAATAGTGAATAAGGCTTACCACCAAACCACACACAGAATCAAATACTGTGGCACTGGGCTTTTGCAGAAACAGCTTTATTGAAGGCCAACTACCAAAGAGGTAACCCTATTTGTCTCAAATTCAAATTCTTAAATTCAAAAGTAGCTTGGTAAGGCTGATGCTTTACCATTTGAGCTCTAGTGCTACTTCTAGTTTTCTGGTGGTTAATTGGAGATAAGAGTTTCATGGATTTTCCTGCCCAAGCTGGCTTTGAACTGTGATCCTCAGGTCTCAGTCTCCTGAGTAGCTAATATTAAAGGCATGAGCCACTGATGCCCAACTTAAGTATCAGTTATTGAAACTTAGTCATGATGGGACCCAGCAAGTACAGGACAGAGCAACACAGCACAGGTGCCTGCTGCTATCTACCAGCAGAACCACAGGACAAGCCAAAGCAAGAGAAATATGGGACTTCACATCTACATGTTGCTAGTTTGCGGTGGTCACCTTGGAGGGGAAAAGTTGGGAATAGCACCCCTGCTTCATAGTTTAAGAGAGTCCCTGGCACCTCTTATGCCCTGGTGTTCTGTTGCTTCTTTCTGTTCCAGGTAGTCTGTGCCAGAGGAAACCTCTATACACTGTTGGTGCCTCAACTGAAAATGGTCTCCAAGGTGACCACATTACTCCATACCTCCTTGGGCTTCTCAGGTTCACCTGATAGACAGTGGGTAATTATATTCCCGAAGGATTTGGAACTAGGTCCACAGGTCAGTACCTATAGAACCCTTTTTCCCTAGGGAGCCTGGATCAGTGGAAGATAGAAGGACTGGAGTTCTGAGGCTGTTTGCAAGCAGTTTCTTGCACAGGATCAAGCTCCATAGCCTGGCAGGAGGAAACCTGATAGGAGGTCCAGGCAGGAGGAGGCCCCTGGTTGCTCACTGAGAGCCACTCTCAGCTCCTCCTAGGTGTCTGTTCCTGGCATAGACTCATTCCTGCAGGAAGCTCAGTGGTCCTGTACACCAGGGGGCTCTTGCCTCGCTGTGTACTGTCTGTGGGCCAGTCCCCTGCAGGAGTGGGCAGAAATACGTTTTAAACACATTGGGGCCCAAAGGAAAATCCTGATGGAACTACTCAAGATTAATGAGGTGGTCTGACAATAGTGAGGCTGAGAGGAGAATCTTAAGGAGAACCTTCTCCTAGAGAAGGACCTAGTGGAACTCTCCTTGTACTCCTGGAGTGGCACCCTGTTCATTCTCAGATCCAGTGAGTCCCAGAGCCCTGATCACTTGCAGGCATAGAGGCGTCTAGTTATTTGCTAGAGCCTCGGCACCTTTCAAGTACTAGGTTCTAGACTAGGAAGTCAGACCGTGGTAAAAAGCAGACAGCTAGCATTGGTCTTATGGAATGGAAGGGCTAGGAAAAGAGAGGTATCACATGGGAACCTAGGGATGGTAGCCAGTAGACAAATGGTCAGAGAAGAGCAGTGGGTGCAGAGAGGCCATGGGAAGCAGTCGCTGGGACTTCCATGTACCAGGGGAAGAATAGGAGACAGGAAAAGAAAAGTGCAGCTGAGAAAAACAAATGCCATTTGAGTGATTCGTCCATCATAGCAACCTCACTGGAATTGGCCTACCAGCATGTTCCCTAATGGGAGCTGGGATTAACCTCCAAAAGTCTCGGCCTTCATCCACAGTATAGGAGGAAGGTCCTGCAAGTGTCACGGGCTGCTCTGTAAGTCAAAATGGCAGATATAGGCCAGGCTTTGCCAGAGGTGTGAGCCAGGTTGGGGTGGAGTGTTTTCTGAGCTTGGAGAAGCCTTCCTTCACCCGTGCAGTGACCAAGCAGGGTTGTTCCACAGGTCTTCGACATTGAATCTCTGCTGGACCCATTGGAAGAAGAGCCTGTCTGCACTGTCCTCCCTGTCAGTTTGACTTTCAAGGCCTGCTGGGCCCCAGTTGAGGCAGCCAGGCTGATTGTGATGCACAGAAATTGTGATTGCACACAGATGATGGTCACTACCTTTGAGTTAAAGGCGGATAAGTCCAGGGGTAGAGTGACCACTCTGGGTAAGGTCCCCATGCTGGCTGCTTTCTGTGGGTCGCCATCGTTGCAGTACAGTGCTTCCTGAGCAGTTTCCTCACCTTTTCTTTTTCTTTGGGCCATTTTTCTTCCCTCTCATGGAAATATGTGCAGAAGTTCTTTGATTGTATACACTGGTTCAGTGATGAGCACTTGCTAAATGTTGAAGAACCTAGTGTGCTTTGGGGATTCAGGCAGTAAACAATGTCCACCTCCACTCTCTTTCCCTCCTTACTGATCTTCATGCCTCTGTTCATTCCTACTGTCCCAAATATGTTCAAAGACCCAGTTCTCAGCACTGAATGCAAATGTGCATGTGTAAAAGCTAGAGCACTTGTCTTTAAGGCATTCCTGGTCTAGTAGGAAAACAAATTCCATAACCTTCCCCACTCTACTATTTCCTAAACCTCATATTATCTGACAGGACTTCTCTTAGATCCTTATCATTTTTCCCTTTTATGTATTCATTTGTTCTCACGTCATTTGACCATAAATTTTACTCTAAGCTTCCTGACAGCTGAGAAAAAAAGGGAAATGCGATGTGTAAAATACCCCTTGTCTGATACAAGAAAACACATGAATTCTTCACAAGAGGTAATTTTTTTTCCTGGTATAAATGAGTAGTGCTATACAGTATGAAGGACAATCTCTTCAATAGTAGTTTTTGGCAGATGTCATATAATTTTCATTGTAGCAATTTCTTCTTTTTTGGTGGTACTGGGGTTTGAATTCAGGAGCCTTGATCAATTTGGTCATTTCTTATATCATCCTTAGATGGGAAAGGGAAAAAGGCAAGCAAGAGCCTGTTCTACTTGCTAGATGCTGTGCTAATCACTTCACAAGCCAGATACTATGAATCATCACATCTGACTGTGAATGCAGTATTGTAGCCAGCATTTTGTAGCTGATGAATTGGTATGTAGTAAATGCATGGGCAGGGTTGAGAATAGAGCTGTGAAACCTTCACTCTTTGTAGTGTGTCTCATCACCACGGGTAAGGTATAGACCTATTCAAGAGAAGCAATCTATGTATTTTTATCCCCAAAGTGCAACAGATTGTCAGCTTCTCTTTGCCGGACACCATGATGCCTCCTTACCTCATGCAAAGCCATGGCTCTCAGGTGATCCTGCTGGCCTGTGGCTCAAAGCTGGTGCTATTCACCATATATGGCCACCATTTGACAACCTTCCAGGACCACCAGAGATCCATCACATCCTTGTGGGTGGTAAGTACAACGCCTCCTGCTTGTAACCTGCCCTCTGACCTCGGTAGTCTATATGTCCTCATCTAACTTAACTTCATTTTATAAGGATGCAAACCAAGTTATCTCCTCCTCCTTGGACCTCTCTTTGCGCATCTACACATGGAATAAGGAAAATAAAATCCCAGCCCTCAGGAGCTGCTATCACTTGCTTGGAGGATCCCACAGATGGGCCAAGTAATTGACTGTTTTCCTTCACTTAGTCCCCAAAATGGCAAAGCAATATTGATTTGCTTGTTTGAAAGCCCAGGTTGGCCTTGAACTTCTTGTCTCAAGAGATTCTCTGGCCTCATTCTGGGACTATAGGTGTGTGCCACTGTATTATGTCTCAAAGCAGTTTTTTTTTTTTTAAGAAATGCTGAAAGGGTAAATTAATAGGACTTAAAATGATAAACCCAGCCTACTGCCTATTAACTTGGTCCTAAGACCAGCCACTGCTCATACTGTATTTCTCCTGTTTAAAAAAAATGAGGGGCTGGGAAAGTGGCTCAGTGGTAGAGTGCTTGCCCTGCATGCCTGAAGCCCTGGGTTCGATTCCTCAGCACCACATAAGCAAAAAGAAAAAAGCCAGAAGTGGCACTGTGGCTCAAGTGGTAGTGCGCTACTGAAATGCTGAGGGACAGCGCCCAGGCCCAGAGTTCAGGCCCCACGACCGGACCAAAAAAAAAAAAAATGAGATTGTGCTGGGATCCAGTGGCTCACGCCTGTAATCCTAGCTACTCAGGAGGCTGAGATCTGAGGATCGCGGTTCAAAGCCAGCCCGGGCAGGAGAGACTGTGAGACTCCTATCTCCAATAAACCACCAGAAAACCGGAAGTGGCACTGTAGCTCAAGTGGTAGAGCGCTCGCCTTGAGCTGAAGAGCTGAGGGACAATGCCCAGGCCCAGAGTTCAAGCCCCACGACCAACAAAAAAAAAAAAAAAATAAATATGCAGGAGACTCAGATAAGGATTGTGGTTTGAAGCCAGCAGGAAAGTCTGAGGGACTTCTATCTCCGATTAACCAACAAAAAGCCAGAAGTGGAGCTGTACCTCAAGTAACAGAGCATCAGCCTTGATCAAAAAAAGTTAAGGGACAGTGCCCATTCCCTGAGTTCAAGCCCCATACAAAATGATGAGATTGTTAGTTCTAGCTATATATTGTATATATTATCTCCTGTAATATACAAAGCTACCACATGTAGTTAGCATTTCCCATGTTGTACAGTTGATACTGGCTGAGAGATAGATATGTTTTATCTCTCAGAATGTATGAACAAGCTGAACTTGAATTTTAAAAGAGTCAAACTTATGAAAAATGACTATTCATGAGTTCCTAAAGTTATTACATCTCTTTCATTCAAGAGAACAGTGAGATTACAGGAGTTGATAAGTAATTCTATGTGCTAGGGAAATGATTCCAACTTGGCCAGATTAAACTAGGTGCTTTTAATCAGATGTTTCTTAGAAGAGCTAGAACCACTGTGATCCAGGCAGCTGCTGTTATTATCAGTAGGCCCATGTATTGATATTCCTATGTTAGGATGTTAGGATGTTTACCAGTCATAACAAATTAATTCAGTTCTTTAAAACAGCTCAGAGTAAACAAGGGCTATATGGAGTTGGCTAGGTGAGAAAAGGTACAGAAAGCTGAACTATGTCTTCATGTAAAAGCACTTATTGCTTAAATGTTTGCCCTTTTTTCATTTGCCAGTCCTGGGGCTTGAATTCCTGGGCCTTGGAGCTGTCTCTGACTTCATTTGCTCAAGACTAGCACTCTACCACTTGAGCCACAGTGCCACTTCCAGTTTTTTCTGAGTAGTAGCTTATTAGAGATAAATAGTCTCAGACTTTCCTGCCTAGTCTGGCTTCAAACCACAATCCTCAGATCTCAGTCTCCTGAGTAACTTGGATTACAGGTATGAGCCTCCGGCTCCTAGCACATTTGCCCTTTTCTAAGATTAATACCTGACATGTCTTTTCTCTTTACAGTGGATTTATCCTTGTGAAAAGTGATAGCAGGAGCATTGTGGCTGTGGAAGACAGAAGCAACGGAATAAGTATTCTGAGGTCATATTGCTTTAAAGTTCGGCATAACTGAAAGTTATTTTATCAGTTGAAGAGTTTCTCATTGTTGGTAAACAGCTTGCATGCATACAAAGACTAAGTTATGTTATCCACATTGGGAAAGTAATTAGTAGTTCTCAGAGGCCTGCTCTATACCAAATGCATTGAGCTCTGTGACTTGACTTCTCACAAGAAGCCAATGAAATATGTGCAATAAATAATGATGTTTCTTTTTCTGGAAAATGAGATTCAAAAGGGGGTGACTAGACATTCTTAGTCCCATTTTCTTGTTGCTGACTAACTTAAGATTTTTAAGTCCTAAGTGGCAAACAATTTGAATGTTTGACTATTGGGAAACTATTATTGTTGTAAAGTTATTAGAATTACACTGTTGTTTTTGTTATCCAAATATGTAATTAACCGAGTAAAATATTTTTTATCTTTCTATTCTGTTATGTGTAGCTCCTGCTATCACATAGGTAATTTTTGTGGGACCATGCATATAACTCAAGAACTGCCATTTTTATTTATTTTTATTTATTTATTTGCCAGTCCTGGCGTTTGAACTCAGGGCCTAGGCACTTGTCCTTAAGCTCCTTTTGCTCAAGGCTCTGCCACATGAGCCACTACTAAGCCACGTTCCCAGCCCTGTCGGTCATGGGGCCTAAACTCTGGGCCTGAGTGCTGTCCCTGAGCTCTTCAGCTCAAGGCTAGTGCTCTACCACTTGAGCCACAGTACCACTTCCGGTTTTCTGGTGGTTAATTGGAGATCAGAGTCTCATGGGTTTTTCTGCCTGGGCAGCCTCCTGAGTAGCTAGGATTACAGGCATGAGCCACTGGCACCCAGCAAGCCCTGCCACCTTTGTGTCCTTGGTGTCCCCTGAGTTAGTCAGCATGGAACCCCTGGTTGACTTAGTGGGCATGTTACACAGAGGTTTTTTTTGTTTTTGTTTTTTGTTGGTCATGGGGCTTGAACTCAGGGCTTGGGTGCTGTCCCTCAGCTCTTCAGCTCAAGGCAAATGTTCTACCACTTGAGTCACAGTGCTACTTCCAGTTTTCTGGTGGCTAATTGGAGATGAATCTCACAGACGTTCTTGTCCCGGCTGGCTTTGAACCTCCATCCTCAGATCTCAGCCTCCTGAGTAACTAGGATTACAGGCGTGAACCACTGGCGCCCAGCGTTACTCAGAATTTCTAACTGCAAGCAATAGGGGCTGCCACTGACTGAAACCAAGAAAGCAACTTATTGGAAGACAGTGCCATACTCCATTGGCTTCATGGGAAGGCTGAAAAAAAGGACAGACTCAAGGCATCAGGCAGCAGGAGACAGTCAGGGTGCTGTGCTTCCTCCAATTGGTCTTGGCTCAGTGGTGTCATCACCATTCCCTTGAGCTCTATCCATGCTACCACTATTTTGCTTATCTCATGTCATTGAACAGGGACCAGGAAACTTCCCCATTTCTCCAGGGGGAAGGGGTTCAGAATGCTTACATAAGTATGTGTGTGTACACGCATGCACATGTATATGTTCATACACATGGACTTGTGTGTGCCTACATGCCTGCACACATTTATGATTTTCTGTATCTACTTAGCTCAGGGGCCTACAACATTGAGGCCAAGTGGGAGAAGACAGGGAAAATCTGACTCCTTCAGCTTCATTAATAGATACTCCTGACCAATGTTTGCAGAGTACAAATTTCTTCAAAAATAGGGAGGAAAATTTTCTCGGGATTAGAAATTAAGGATTAAAAAGCTGTTTACATGAGTCTACTTTGTGTATTGTCCTAGTGTGCCATTTCCTAAGTTAGCCCTGTTAATGTAGATTTCTCCGACCACAAAATAGCAGCTGGACCCTGCATATCCATGGCTGGGGTAGAGAGGGTCACTACTTAAAGTCTGTGTTTTCTCTTGAAACTATCAGAGTAGTTTTCCTGAAGCTCCATCTTAGATGTCCTAAGATTGGCTTCATAAGTGGTGAGGATGATCAGGACTGAAGCATTCCAATAGCAGTGGAGGAAAGAATGTAGGCAAACAGAGGTACATACTGGCACAAATAACACAACACAGCAAGAGAGATGAGAGCTGTCATACTCAGATGAAGGGAAAATTTGGAAAAGTTGAAAGTGCTGGAGTTTTTGCTGAAGAAATAGCAGAAGGCATATTAGAGATCTAATAAAGGAATGTGGCTATCCCAGTTCGTTCTGAGAGGCTTAGACCCTGAGTCTGAGGGGCAGGGATACAGTTCTCTTAGGTGGGAGGTTCCTTGGTGAGAGGGGATGATCAGAGCCAGACCCATCCTCCCTGGGAGGGTGTGTGACCCAAGAACATGTGCAACTCTATATGAATCCCTGACCTGGGGCTTTATGGCAACTGAGTAAGGGCAGTCTTGTTTGGGAACACAAGAAGTTAGTGTGCTGTCTGACATAAACTCTTCCCAGGACAACATGGTCCCTGGGATGTGGTGCCCTTGTTCCAGGGAGAAGTACTTGGAGAATGTACCAACTACCAGTTCAAAAGGTTGCTTCCGTGGCATTCAGCAGGTATTGCTACACCTGGACAATGTAAGAAAGGGCCCACTGAAGTCTGCAGAGTCCCGTAGCAGCATGCAGAAGACTGGTGAGCCATTCTCAGGCCCTCCCATTAACCAAGTTAGAAATAAGAATGATTACCACTGTAATTAAGTAGTGCTTTGGAAGGTAATCAGTCCTGATCATCTTCACAACCTAGTCTAACACATGTAGGACTTCTATTTACCATTATTTCTATGTAGCATTTATTTCCAAATCCAAAGGAAATTTAATTACCAAATAGGAATTCACCTTAATTAGTTAATAGTTTATTTACATTTTAATATGTGTAATAAAAATTGTGGGTTGCAGCCGGGCGCCAGTGGCTCATGGCTGTAATCCTAGCTACTCAGGAGGCTGAGATCTGAGGATCATGGTTCAAAGCCAGCCCGGGCAGGAAAGTCCATGAGACTCTTAACTCCGATAAACCACTCAGAAAACCGGATGTGGCACTGTGGCTCAAGTGGTAGAGCTCTATCCTTGAACTGAAGAGCTGAGGGACAGCGCTCAGGCCCAGAGCTCAAGCCCCATGACTGACCAAAAAAAAAACCAAATTGTGGGTTGCAACATTGCCAACACTTTGCTGTGTCTCCGTGAGTCTGAAACAAGATATTCAGTGAGTCTAAAGCAAAATTTTAGGCTTGTAGCCTAATATGTGGAGAAGCAAGGGAGGGCAGCATAGATGGAGACAAAGTGAAATCCAGGAATATTGAACTTTAGACCTAACAGAGTGCTAAGAAAAATGGTAGAGAGAAATCCTGAAGAGGAAGTGGCGCTGTAGCTCAAGTGGTAGAGCTCTCGCCTTGAGCTGAAGAGCTGAGGGACAGCGCCCAGGCCCAGAGTTCAAGTCCCACGACCGACAAAAAAAAAAAGAAATCCTGAAGAGTCAAATAAGAGAAAATAGCTGCAAAAAAGAGAAAAGTCTAGGGAAAGCTCCATGGCTACTCATACTGACAATCTGAAAAAGCAGAGTTTTAAGAAAAATCTGCATAATATGTAGCAAGGAGATTCCAGAAAGGGGGCACCTACAGTCCCTAGTTTTCCTACTGGTGCTTTGAAGATTAATTATCATAGGAGAGGTCTTTTTTTGGGGGGTGAGGGGGTCCGGTCGTGCGGCCTGAACTCTGGGCCTGTCCCTCAGCTCTTAAGCTCAAGGCTAGTGCTCTACCACTGAGCCACAGCGCCACTTCCGGCTTTTTTCTTTTTGCTTATGTGGTGCTGAGGAATCGAACCCAGGGCCACAGGCATGCAAGGCAAGCGCTCTACCACTGAGCCACTTTCTCAGCCCCAATAGGAGAGGTCTTATAGTCAAACATCTTAGGATAAACAGAAGATGCTACTCCTGTGTGTATGTGTACGCACCTGCATACATGTGTGCTGGATCTGGGGCTTGAACTCAGGGCCTGGGTGCTGTCCCTTAGTTTTTCTCTCAAGTACTCTAATACATAGGCTAAAGCTCCACTTCTGGCTTTTGGTGGCTAATTGGAGATAAACGTCTCATGGACTTTCTGCCCAGACTGACTTTGAACTGTGATTCCTTAGGTCTTAGCCTCCTGAGTAGCTGGGCTTACAGGCATGAGTTACCAGTGGCTGGCCAAGATGTCAGATTTGTTTTTTTTAAATCACCAAACCACAGGCCTCCCTGCTCCACAGAACCACTCCCGGAACCAATCTGGAACCAGAAAACTGACGGTGACTTAGACTTAGACATAGATCTTTGTGGGTGGGAAGTATGTGTCACAAACAACATTGCAGAAAGAAATTGAGGGGAAACATTGGCAGTCTATAGTCTGAACTCTGGTAAGAGAAGAATAACCATCTGTATGTGAACACAGGCTGGGGTGCAAAGACAGAACTGTGGTACCATGGAATTCAGGCTCTGTGAAAGACCTGTGCCTGACACACCAGTACAGACTGCAGGAATAAAAGAGGGCAATAAATGGTAAGGAAAGAGGTCAAACCCCACTGGGTTTGACTGCTTTGAACACTCCCAGAAAGCTAAAGAGTTTGGTGGAAAGTAGCCATGTTTGGAAATTTGCCACACAGGAATCAACTCAGCAAAGGAATAGTACTTGCTGGTAAAAGTTGTTTCGACTTTGGAGAGAAAGAAAACAATGTACAATGAAAAAGACAAGGGTGTGTGTGTGTCTGTCTGTGTGTCTGTCTGTATGTGTGAGTATGTATAAATCATCCTCTTAGCAAGGAAGAAGTCTTGACTGCTTTTTTTTTTTTTTTTTTTGGTCGGTCGTGGGGCTTGAACTCTGGGCCTGGACGCTGTCCCTCAGCTCTTCAGCTCAAGGCGAGCGCTCTACCACTTGAGCTATAGCACCACTTCCGGTTTTCTGGTGGTTTATTGGAGATAGGAGTCTCACGGTCTCTCCTGCACGGGCTGGCTTTGAACCGCGATCCTCAGATCTCAGCCTCCTGAGTAGCTAGGATGACAGGCGTGAGCCACCAGCGCCTGGCTGTCTTGACTGCTTTTTAAGAAACAGTTGTATGGGTAATGAAGGTGTGGCTCAAGTGTAGAATGCCAGTGAAAGACAAGAGTGAAAGGCCCTACATTCAACCCCAGTACCTGCACTAAATCAGTAGCTATCAGTATAAAGATGTTCCTCATTATTATTATTTTTTGGTCGGTCATGGAGCTTGAACTCTGGACGTGGCACTGCCCCTGAGCTGCTTTTGGCTCAAGGTTAGTGCTCTACCACTTGAGCCACAGCAACACTTCTGGTTTTCTGGTGGTTAATTGGAGATCAGAGTCTCACGAACTTTCCTGCTCTGTCTGGCTTTGAGCAGTGATCCTCAGATCTCACCCTCCTGAGTAGCTAGGATTATAGGCCTGAACCACTGGCACCCAGCTTCATTACTATTTCTTATTCTTTTATCCTGTGTTTCCTCTTTTTTAGCTTGCCTCACTTTCTTTCCCCATTCTTTTTTATTACTTAATTATTAATTCTTTTTTTTTTTTTGGGTCCGGTTGTGTGGCCTGAACTCTGGGCCTGGGCACTGTTCCTCAGCTCAAGGCTAGCGCTCTACCACTTGAGCCATAGTGCCACTTCCGGCTTTTTTCTTTTTGCTTATGTGGTGCTGGGGAATCGAACCCAGGGCCTCAGGCATGCAAGGCAAGCGCTCTACCACTGAGCCACTTTCCCAGCCTAATTATTAATTCTTTTATTTTTGGATCCGGTCGTGGGGCCTGAACTCTGGGCCTGGGCGCTGTCCCTCAGCTCTTCAGCTCAAGGCTAGCGCTCTACCACTTGAGCCACAGCGCCACTTCCGGCTTTTTTCTTTTTGCTTATATGGTGCTAAGGAATAGAACCCAGGGCCTCAGGCATGCAAGGCAAGCGCTCTACCACTGAGCCACCTTCCCAGCCTAATTTATGCTTTCTTGCATAGATTAGTATCCCAGCCTAATTATTAATTCTTTATCTGTGTGGGTACCGGGGCTTAAACTCAGGACCTGAGTGTGTTATCCCTTAGTTTTATCATTCAAAGATGGCATTCTACCACTTGAGCCACAGCTCCACTTCCAATTATGAATAGTTCTAACTTTAATGTTTTTTCCCAATCTGTAAATAGAATCTTTTTTTTTTTTTTTTGGGTCCCATCGTGGGGCCTGTACTCTGGGCCTGGGCGCTGTCCCTCAGATCTTCAGCTCAAGGTTAGCGCTCTACCACTTGAGCCACAGTACCACTTCCGGCTTTTTTCTTTTTGCTTATATGGTGCTGAGGAATAGAACCCAGGGCCTCAGGCATGCAAGGCAAGCGCTCTACCACTGAGCCACCTTCCCAGCCTTGTAAATGGAATCTTAAATCTAGCAGAAGTGGTTATACTTATATTGAGCCAAACAGACTTCAGAAAAAAAAATATAGCACTGAGCACAGTAGCACATACTGTAATCCTAGTTATTCACTTGTCAGAGATCTGTGAATTGGTTAGAGGCCAGCCCAGGTAAAAAGTGAGACTCTCATGTCAACAAAAGTGGCTAGTCATAATGGTGCAGTCCTATACTCCCAACTACAGGAGACACATCGGTAGTAGAATCATAGTTGGAGGCCAGCCCTTGGCAAAAAAAAAAAAAAAGAGAGACCATATCTAAAAATGTAGCTAAAATGAAAAGATGCTAAGAGTATGACTCAGGAGGTAGAATATCTGCTTAGCAAGCACAAGGACCAGCGTTTAAACCCAATTACAGCCAAAAAAGAAAAAAAAATACTGTAGAAATAGACAAGTCACAGCCAAGCACCTGGTTCATGCCTGCATTCCTAGCTACTCAGGAAGCTGAGGTTTGAGGATTGCAGTGCGAAGCCAGCCCAGGCTGGAAAGTCCATGAGACTCTTTATCTCCAATAAACTATTTTGAAAAAGCCAGAAGTGACATTATGGCTTAAGTGGCAGAGTGCTAGCCTTGAACAAAACTCAGGGACAGAGCCCTGGCCCAGAGTTCAAGTCCTAGGACTAGGTCGGGGGAGAGGGGAGGGATAGACAAATTCACTATATAATGATCAAGGGAAAAGTTAATTGAAAAATTTATATAGCAATTATAAATCTTTACCTAATGTCATAGCACCCAGTTTGATCAAATAAACACTACTAGACATAAGATCCAGTACAGTGATTATAGGGAATTCAATACCCTACTCTTACCAATTGATAGATCACCAAAGCAAAAATATCAACAAAGAAATATCAGTTATACTATAGTTCAAATAATGAATATGAAAGCATTCTACCCAACATCTGCAAAACACGTACTTTCATTAGCATTGAACTTCCTATAATAATGTTGCATTGAACTTCTCCCAAAAAGTCTTAATAAATTTTTAGAAATCAAAATAGTATTCTGTGTCTTTTCTGATCACAATGGGATGAAATGGAGAAAAAAATTCAGTAAATTTACAAAGGAAGGAAGAGATGACAGGAAGAAGGAAGACAGGTTTCAAATAAATGATGCATTTAGGAAGGGAAAGAAGAAAGTCAGGCCAGGCGCCAGTGGCTCATTCCTATAATCCTAGCTATCCAGGAAGCTGAAATCTGAGGATCAAGGTTCAAAGCCAGTCCCAGCAGCAAAGTCCGTGAGACTCATCTCCAATAAACCACCAGAAAACTGGAAGTGTTGCTGTGGTTCAAGTGGTAAGAGTGCTGAGGGACAGTACCCAGGTCCAGAGTTCAAGCTCCATGACCGACCAAAAGAAAAAAAAGGGGGGGGGGTGGAGCTGGGAAGGTGGCTCAGTGATAGAGTGCTTGCCTTGCATGTATGAGGCCCTGGGTTTGATTCCTCAGCACCACATAAGCAGAAAAAGCCAGAAATGGGGCTGTGGCTCAAGTGGTAGAGCACTAGTCTTGAGCGGAA